AAAGAGCCCTGGCATTCGGACCACTCAGAGCCTACAAACACTCGGTGACGACGACCCATCAGATAAGACAAGAACCAGGCCGATGCTGAAGCCGTATAGTCCAAGACCCGGCAATACTTACGGGTATGTGATCGTTGCAATAGATAATTTCTAATTTTTTTTTTTTTTTTTTTTTTTTTTACGGATATGCGCACTCGCAAGGAAATGTCCTATCACGCTCGAGAAGCGGCAAGTGCGCGGAAATGTCGGTGTATGTTGGTCTTGAAACGGTTCAGGTTGTAACCTGCAGGGAAAACCGTCGCAGGGAGTTTATTCCACAGCGATGCTGTTCTCCAGAGATATGAATTCTGATATAATGAGGTTCTTGGTGCCTCTAGTTTGACAGTAAATTCATGGTTACCGTCTGTTTGACGGGTTCGCCTGGTAGGTGCTACTCTCGGTGGAATCATACGTGCCAACTCTTCAGATGTTCGAGACCATCCAAGTTACGAGTAAGTGCGGGGTCATTGATCAGCTTGATAGCTCGTTTTTGCACGGTGTTCAAAAGCATTAAGGTATGTTTGGGTGCTGCACTCCATATATGTGAGCAGTACTCCATAGTTGGTCGAATCTGGGCTTTGTAGAGTGTCAGCAATTGGCTTGGTGTGTACAGATGTCTTGTACGAAATAGCACCCCCAGCTTTTGGGACGCCCTTTTAGCAATATCTGCCACGTGATTGTGCCAAGACATGTTGGTCTCTGCAGTAACCCCCAAGATGTTCAACTGACTTTGTAATGTGACAGCACTTCCAGATAGCATGATGTTTGGCTCACCGGTGTTGTTCTTTTTTGAAAACAGAGCTGCTTGGGTTTTCTGTGCGTTGAACTGTACAAGGTTTTTGTTATCCCAGTCCTCTATTATCTCCAGGTCGTTATTTATCTGCGATATTTGAGTTAGTTTGGGTTAGTTTGGGTTAGTTTGGGTTAGTTTGGGTTAGTTTGGGTTAGTTAAATAAAACAATAGTTCATAGTAACCTTTAAACCAAATGGATGGGTTGCCTGGATTCTCATAGCCGTAAAGTTGTTATATAAAAAGATACTTTTATTAATTTTATAAATAGAACAAAACCATAAGCACAACAAATAATAAGTACCTTGCGGTGTAGGGGGCTGTCATCGTATGCGGCAAACACTTTATTAACACAATTTCATGTTTCTTTTTTTGTCTAAAGACCTACCCTTTTAACTTTAAAAGTAACTTTGAGAGCTGCCACTTTCAAAAATTCGTATTCAGCAAGCAAAATAACGCGCGCGCTCGACTTTCAATGAGGGTTGCCCTCACTTCCGGCCATCAAAATCGAGGCAACCCTATATATTATTGGAGAAGACATAATAAAGAATATATCTACCAAATTCCAGCTATTGCAATGATAACATTGTTCCTTCGAAAAAAGAGGGGTAGTCACCCAGTCACTAAAGGGTTGCGGCCATGAGAATCAAGGCAACCGATCCATTTAGTTTAAAGGTAACTATGAGCTATTCTTTTATGTGAAAATTATCCATTGCAACGATCACATACCCGTTAATATTGCCGGCTCCAGATTTTCCATGAAAACTACGCCTGTCGCCGATATTGCTTCGATTAGGTGCACATTTGGTCTTCGTGAAGCAGGTAGTATTTGAACCGCCCTACTGCCCTTAACAGAACAACCCCTTGCTCTACGACAAAACAAATTAAAATTTGTTTCGTCCATCCAAATTACTTGTTTTCCATCCCTTATATAATTATTCAAATTATGAACATACTCGGCCCTCCGGCTCTCCTTCGATTTTCTTCATTATTCATATTGATATAGGTTCAGTATATGGACTTGTTTTAGGGTAAATATTTTACCTTCTAAGTAGTTTCCTATCGTTGTAACACATACTTCTTTATTAAATTCATTTCCTATTCTATTTTTAATCTGCTGTAACGTAAGGTCAGCTGAATTTTCTACCCATAAAATCAAAATATCAATTTCCTCTTCTGTCAAACATTTGGGTTTAATGCCACCTTTTTTGAACATATGAGGTATTCCAGAAGAAACCCAGCAAAAAGCAGTTTTGTAATTTATGCCTAGTGTTTTGGCTAAATTTACCCAATCATCTCCACGACTAGCGCAGGTAATAATCCTGTCTCTGCCACTGTTTGTGTTTCTTTTATATTTCTTTCGCACAACAGCAATTGATTCGTCTACAGCAGCCCTACAAATAGGACGACGCGGGTTTGGGGCGTTTAGAATCGGTTCAGCACATTTTTCATGTAATAAATGAAGACACGGTTGGACAAATGTAGATGCGTGATAAATTGGTTTGATAGTGCCATTTTTAAATCTGTGTAAAATACAAGCTTCTATTCCAGTGATACTTGCATCGCCATATATGATGATTTCGTGAACTGGGTTGTACTCAGTTAAGAGTTGGATCAACTTTAAAATATTTTAAATTTTTCTTGATATTCTGTAGTCCACAAAAATGTGGTTCCTTTTTTTTATTACCTACCTATTCATTTAATGGTTGAGGTAACATGTGGTAATTCACGATAATAGCATATTGCGTCAAGATAGGAATATAGAGTGTTGATATCGTGAGGCGGTGGCATATTTCTGATAACTTCAGTGTTTGCTCTTGTTGGTTTTAACCCGTTTTAACTTAAAATTTATCCCAAATGCCTACTTGATTTCTTTGACTCCAAATTTACATTGTCGTAATTTCAGATTTCAGATGAAAACCAAACTCTTCTATACGATTTAGGATAAGATTTAAATTTTGAAAATGTTTTTTTTTTCTGATTGGCTAGATAATAAAATCTCATGCCTTGGTTCTTTTCAGGTTTAATACCATGGTATCCATAACTTGTTGAAAAATGGCTAGGGCCACGTCTATACCAAAAGGCATTCTATTGTATTGAAACAATCCATGATGAGTGTTTATTGTTAAATATTTTCTTGATTTTTCGCTGGTTGGGTGTCGTTTTTTCTTAGGAAAAATGTTACTTTCCGGAGTCTGAAATATTTTTGGCATCTTCCGTAGAAAGGCTTTAATATCTTTTGAACCATACATCAAAAGTGCTCCCTGTTTCCTGCCTGATCATAGTCAAATTCTGTGATACTATTATTCAGAGTTTCCACTCGAAACTCTTCATTTAGATTGGCTTGATTTTGTGGTATATTTTAAAAATTTGATCAAAACTGACCCAAAAATTCTTGAAGGATGTGAGAACTTCTGTCCATTTGTTCCATGTTCATTATCCTATACCGACTGCGTCAAGTTGTTGTAGTTTGGATTAACTACAACAATATTTATTTTTGTTTTTTCAGGTATATTTCTGGTACCCGTGGTGTGGTACTGCTTTCTAGTACCCTCATACAAGCTTCCTGTAAAACATAAGTTAAAAAAGATGAAAGTTACCAGTAGGATGAAAGAAAAAAACGCGAAATTCAATCGGAAGCTCGTTTCAAAGAGATAACGATTGGTTGTCGAGAAAAGCCAGTTTAGGCTTAGATCTCACCTAACTCGAGTTGGTAACTTTTTTACCCTCGTCACTCTCCCTTATGTAAGGATCTACGTGTCTATTTTTATATTATGGGTCTGCAATTTGCGAAACAATAGAAACATTGCTAAAGAAATGCATAAATAAAAATATTATATACCTACCTATAACAGGCTATTGACTGTTGTGAAAATAAATAAAAAGAAATCGAACCAAATAGGGTTGAAAATTAATTAATATCTATGCAACTATTAATTACAGACGAAATATTACATATTGGAATATCTAGGTTTTATAAAAAATATTACATCACTGACAGCTGCATAAAAACGCAGGTACAGTATTATATCGCAATATTTTTCATGTTGCTAGACCAAAATATTCTTGCTAAGATACCTTTTTGAATTGTTAACGATAGCTTGTACATACTAACAACCGCAAATGGTCGTTGATTGCAAAATGCAAAATGCAAAATGCAATTCAAAGGTTATGTACTTGAATGTTAAGTGATGGATGATCTTATATTACAGGTGAAATGAGATAATATATGCTGTGTGCTAAATTTTTTATTCGTATCTTGAACTGATTTTAGAACATTTTATCACCTAAAATGTTTGTTTAATCGGTACTTGAGTTTTCTGTAATATATTGTAGTATTTTCACAATATTCTAAATTTATTTCAAAATTTCCAGCGAAATAATTTCATGTATTAAACGAGCACAGAATTTCTACTATTCCTATATAGTCAATAACCTAATAATAAAACAATAACGTAACATAATAGTTATTATGCATTAATCAATCCATAATATCGATTTAAAGCGGTGCATACAAATTATTAGATCGTGAAAACTATTCGTGAGGAAGTTTATTTTATCATAATTCGAAAGGAAACGATTTTCATTATTTCGAACTGCTTTTATTGCTTCTCTTTTTGCGTTTTGGATTTAATCAAGGATTTTGATTGTAAGTAAGGGGTAAAAATTATTGGAACCAAGGATTTCTTTCTTCTATATAAATGTCAACGGCTACTTGAATACCTAATCAACTGAGGAAACTATAATTTAGAGAAAAAATAATCAAAAGACATTAAGCTCCGTTGATTATTATTATCCCATAAAGGCAAGGCTAATAATCGATAATTAAACAGATTTGTTGGAATTTGAAAAAACACCACAATCCAGGTGTTGATAGATTATACTTATATTGATATTGATCTCTGATAAATTGTTCTTTAACATATATTTTTTTTATTTCTCAAGATAAACGCATTTCATTCAAGAATAAATTATTAGTCTTTGCCCTAGTCTCACTTTTTTATTTTCTTCAGCAATTCATTTGACATGAGGAATCATTATACATTTATCAGAGGCGCACCTTCCTTGTTGGCATTCTATTTTTTATTTTCTTCAGTTCATTTGCTTCAACCTTGTATAGAATTTTTTAAAATTGCAATAATCTACTATAATAGATCTTTTTTTTTTCTAGCTGTCAACGACAATGATGCCAGTGTACGCTTTTCCGGCACCCATGATGCAGCAGCAAGTTATGGGGTACCATCCGGCTCTGATTCCAGCACCTCTTGGGCCAGTACCGTCACCGATTATACCGCATCCAACCAGAAAGGTACAATAATTATTAGAATATGATAACATTAGACCCAATTAGATCAAGCCAGTACCAAAAGTTTGGTTACTTTTTACATCTTGGTACAATTTACCATACGCATCAGACGATGTTTTTGTTTTCCAATTTCCAGTAAAAAGCATTTTAAAAAACATGAACACTACTATAATGAGCCGATTGGGTTTAGAGCTTCCCAACAGGGAAAGCCCTGTCTGTTAGTTAAAAAACCAAAGACATCTTATAGATGTCATCTTTCTAGATCGGTATGGAACCAATTTCCGCTAAAGCAGTGTGATGATACACATACACCTTATGTTTTAATACCACGTCTACCTGTATTTGTGTGTCATTCAAGATTGTGTCATTAATTATTTTTCAAGTAAATCTTATGCTTAATTTTGTCGGCCTTATTTCTGAGGTATTTGGTATTTGCATTGCTACAATTTAATCGACATTATGGACAGGCTCCTGAGACCTGAAAGGTTTGATACTGATCCCAGCTCATCAAATGCAGCAAAGGCATGGTGTCACTGGAAAACTACATTCCATAACTTCATGTCGTGAGTGAAAGATGTAGAGGAAGCACAAAAGCTGCAGCTACTCACAAACTATGTAAGTCACAACATGATCGAATACGTTTCTGAAGCAAAAATCTACGCTGATGCTGTGAGTATCTTAGATAATATCTATATATAACCACAAAATAGAGCATTTACAAGACATATATTCTTTCTAAGAGGAAACAGCAACGTCGACAAAAACATGAGCCAGTACATTCAAATTTTGAATCAGCTCAGCAAAGATTGTAACTTACGTAACTGCCAAAAAACATCGCGAACTTTCCATTAGAGATGCATTTATTTGCGGCTTATTGTCAAATGAAATTTGTCAAAAAAGTTTGTTGGAAAAAAGTAATATAACTTTAAATGAAGCAACATCACAAGCTCTATCTCTTGAATCTGCTCAAAAACATTCTGAGGTATACCAAACAGCTTCAGCAAGATTTGTCAATTCTAGTAATGCGGAAAATCCTCAAGTGTAGCAACAAAGATACCCTGTTTTGAGTGCTACTGGGAAATTTTCTTCATGCTATTATTATGGAAATAGAAGACATAATCAGTCTCTTTGTCCTGCCCTGCATGCTACATGCAAACAATGCAGTAAAAAATGTAATTTCTCTACTGTTTATCGAAATTTAAATCGTATCACAACTGCATCTATTCTGTCTCAAACATTGGCTTCTGTTCCTGGAAGTTTATCAAAAACTGCGGTGCCAATAGAAATCAATCAGTTATCGGCAAATGCGTTAATAGATACTGGCAGCTCTGAGACTTACTTGAACCAGTAATTTGTTTCATCCAATAATCTCCCGATTCAACCAAGTAGAAGCTACGTGTCTATGGCTCAAACTTCTCTGCGTGCACAGAGAAAAGGAATTTGTGTTGACAACCTCAACATTCTTGATCATCAGTATGCAAACTTAAAAATTTCGGTTCTATAAGACCTCTGTGCTGATATTATCGTTGGTCATGACATTTTTAAGTAACATGAAATGTTGACCGATTATTTTGGAAAACGAAAATCTGCGATGCTGTACTTGAAACAAAGCACTGTTCTCTAGCTCCTGCGAAAATTGAACCACCGCAATCATTCGCTAATCTATCATCGCAATGTAAACCAATCGCTACAGAATAGAGAACATTTTCACATGATGATGATGCCAAATTTATTTCAAGTAAAGTAAAAAAGGTTCTTTCAAAAGGTATCATTGAATAAAGTAGGTACGTCTTCCTGGCGAGCACAAGTTCTTTTGACAAAGAACGAAAATCATAAAAAGAGAATGGTTGTTGACTATTCTCAAACAATCAACAAGTTTACTAAACGTCAATATCCTTTACCTAAGATCGAAGGGTTAGTAAGAACAATCTCAAAATCTGACGTTTTTAGCACTATTGACCTAAAAAGTGCGTATCCCCAGTTCCCTATGAGAGATGATGAACAACAGTTCACTGCTTTTGAAGCTGATGTAAGCTTTACCAGTTTAATCGTATCCCTTTTGGTGTGACTAACGGCGTAGCTTGTTTCCAAAGAGTCTTAGATACAATAATCAGGCAAGAGAATCTAGAAGGCGTCTGCGCATATCTCGATGATATAACAATTTGTGGAAAAAATCAAGAAGAACACGATAAGCATCTATCAACTTTTCTGACAGCTCTTAAAAAGTACAACCTAACTATAAATAAAAGTAAAACACACAACACTTAAACCTGATGCTGCAAGACTTGAACCTCTACAGAATCTGCCAGTACCAACTCATAAAGCTTCAATTCAAAGAGCTGTGGGCATATTCGCTCATTACTCTAAATGGATACCTAGATTCTCCAAAAAAATTCATAGAATAGGGATGTTCACTATTTTTCAATTGTAATAAAAAGTGGTGGTTTAGGTCCACAAAACACGTATTGCGTTAAAACATCTAGAAACTCTTTATTTTTTCTGATAAATCGAAAACAAAAAAACGAAATTAGCGAGGCTAGCAAAACGACCCCCTGCGGCGAGAGTACCACTTGTGACGTCACTGTGCGGAGCGAAAAATCAGCTGGCGGGTTGGCGAGATTTGTTTACAAGTTTACATTGGATTTATTGTGTTGCTGACTGTTGCTTTATCCCAAGAAGCTTCATTCACTCTAATTATCTGTGTTTGTGTAATGATGGGAGACTCAAACAAAGTTGAACCGAGTCGAAAAGAGTGGTATCTACGTGCGTGTTTTTCTACGAGGTGCGAAAATGTGCTACTTTCCGCACGCAAATCGTTGCGTGAAGACGCGTTTTTTACATGCTCATAGAAAAAATGGGCCTAACACGAGCATAAAGTATGTTTTCCGCACTTGCGGCTTGCACGAATTCCGCTGGCTCGTCGTTCGTGCAAATGCCGTTGCGTGCGGGAAAGTATAACTTTCCGCCCTTGTTACAGGTAAATAACTATATATCATTGTTCAAATGCAACTATACCTACATCTAATAACGTCCGATTTGCTTCTACACCAATGGACTGGAGCTGATTCAAGTCGACACTTGACCAAACATTCTGATACCATAGTGGATAACGAAATAAACAAAAAAATAGTAGATAACGTCCACAGTTGGGCAGTTGGCAGATTATGTGAATCGGCCTTTTGAAAACCTTTCTTCATTTTAGCCGTAGGACCTTTTCTACCTTAATTTCGATAAACCCTATAACACAGAGATCGACATGAAGGAGATAGCAGCAATATCAAAATACTTGTTAAACGTTAAACAGACTCTCTCGTTAAATTAAAACCGAACCATAATAATAATAACAATAATATTAATATCAATATTCCTTATTGCCAACAAAAATCGCAAAAGCAACCACAAGGGCTGATCCAAGTAGCTAGTAACGCCACTGTACTTGCGCGTGCTAACTCATTACGCATTGTGACGTCAGACAGCGTTTAGTGCGTTTAAACGAATAATAATATTTCGTCTCCGTTTTTCTCATAGAACGAATCTTCTGATTTTCGTAAAATTTTGTAGATTTACTTATGAAACGATGCTCAATAATTTGATGATGGTTAAACGGATTTTTTTTATTTTGCGAACATTCCTATTGTTAGTACCAGAAACTTTCCTATGCAAGAGCCTGCTATAACCGATTTTCACAACTTGAAAACTTGAGTAGCAAAATCAGCTGACACTGAAGGAAAAATTTGTGGTGGAAACAGTCGCCTCCGAACATTGAATAGCAGCAATTCTAAGCCAGTCTGAATGACCAGTTGCGTTTTTCTCAAAAACTCTATCATATAGTGAACAAAACCACTCAGCAGTTGAAATAGAAGCACCAGCAACTGTAGAAGCTCTGAAGAAATGGCATTTCAAGTTGATAACAGATCAAAGATCGGTCTCATTCATGTTCGACACGAAGCATAATAGTAAAATAAAAAATCAAAAAATTCAACGCTGGAGACTCGAACTTTCATACTATTCATATGACATAGTCTAACGTCCAGGAAATGAGAATATCGTATAGCCGATACTTTTTCTCGAGTATGTGGGGCTTTAACTGAGAATAAATTGTACGTTGTCATCCTGGAATAACCAGAATGTTTCAGTGGATTCGATTCAGAAATTTACCTTATTCCATAGACGATGTACGAAAAATGACCGCCGCCTGCACTATTTGTATAAAGCTCAAGCCGACGTTCAGTAAAAATCAAGGAATACTAATAAAATCAATCAGACCATTTGAAAAGCTCAACATTGATTTTTTTAAAGGTCCTTTTTCAACATCCTCAACAAATCGTTACCTATTAACAATTTTAGATAAATTCTCAAGATTCCCTTTTGCTTACGCCTGCCCTGATATGACTGCAGAGACTGTGATTAAATGCTTCACAAATCTATTTTCAATATTCGGAGTGCCCTCGTACATACATTCTGATCGGAGAAGCTCTTTCAAGTCAAAAGAACTGAAGGAATATCTTCATTCAAAAGGTATAGCTTTTAGCAGAACGACTGCTGATAATCCGGAAGACAATGGTCAAGTAGAAAGATTTAATGGTACAATCTGGAAAACAATATCGCTCGCACTGAAGTCTCGTGGTCAACAATGAGAGAGGGTGGTGTATGTTGCAACAAATCAAACACCTCATTAACGCATGTAACGGACAAACTATTCCTTTCTGGCTTTCAAGTCCTGGCCCTGTTTGGATGAAAACGAATGTTAGAAAAAGTAAATACCATCCGTTTGTGGAGGTGTACTTGCTGGAAGCAAACCCAGAATATGCCTTTGTTCGTTTTCCCGATGACAGAGAAGATACTGTCAATCTAAGACATCTAGCACCACGTGCAAGTGCACTTGATGACGATGATGATAGTGAAAATCCCTTTCGATCTCATGACAAACCAGAACAAGAAAGTAATTCCCATAAAAAAGATGTACAAATACCTGATAATCAGAATGATGATCCGGAGGAAAA